TTTTTTTTTTTTTTTTCCTTTTTAGTACCCATGTGGATCTATCATAAAATCTTAAGGATTCCTGAAACCTCAGATTCCTGCCAATAAGCTATTTCTCAAAAACTAATAGAAAAGTCAAAATTTACCCCAAGCATTTTTCAGAGTATTGATGGAAAATACTTACAAAGCAAATCAAGGCTATTTATTGAGTTACTATAACTGATAAAACCATTCCTTCCACATTTTAAATAGAGAACACTTCAAAACATTGGCTAAGAATAGCAACCTACTCCGGATCAGACTGGGGGAAAAAACAAACGTTCCTTGTTTAATAGGAAGTGCTTGAAATTTAGTATAAAATAACAACTGTGGAGTTCAAAGCGCCACCAATTTCTCCTTTGGATTTGAGTCAGACTTTTGAATTTTCAAGTGGCTTGTCATTTTCAAGCGTGCAATTAGCTAACTTCCAAATGCCACAACACACGCTCCTGACCGTACCTGACACTGAAAAACAGCTTCATGCTGTCTTGAGAATTGCTAGCTTCGAGTGTGTGCTGACCTGAGGATTTCTGCCGACTTGAAATCTCCCTGAGTATTTCCAAGAAGGGCTACTGGCTCATGCACAGAATCAAAACACACTGTGTCTCTGAAGTTGCCTATTTGTCATGAGCTAAATAAATATGAAGTGGCTCTTTTTACTGTCTTTCCTGAAGGAATTGGAGATAGTATTTGAGTGTTTCTGTTTTAAGGAACCCTGGTGGTACAGTAAGGGGCTCTGGTGGTATAGCTGTTAAGGCATTTGGCTGCCAACCAGAAAGTCAGCAGTTCAAACCCACAAGGCACTCCACGGAAGAAAGATAGGGCAATCTACTTCTGTAAAGATTTACAGCCTTGGAAACCCCGGGGGGGGGGCTGCTATGAGTCAGAAAGTCTTGATGGCAGTGAGTTTGGTTTTCTGAGTTGGTGGCGCAGTGGTCAAGCACTCAGTTGCTAATCCAAAGGTTACCAGTTTGAACCTACTA